GAGTGCACCCCTCCCCACCTCACCGCTCCCCTCCGGAGCATTGGGGCCGGGCGCCTGCCCAGACCCCTAAACCCCCCCACACCCCCTCCCCTGCACCTTTGCAGGACTGCGTCTCTGCCCGAGCGCCCACACCCATGCCCGGCACACCCATGCCCGCTGCCGCCTTTGGCCCTCCCCCAGGTGCATTTCGGGGGTTTTGCTGAAAGCGGTGCCGGGGCCGCAGCAGCTTTGGCGGGACACATGCGGGACAGGGGACCCATCCCTGCAGCTGTGCGACCTCAGGCGAGCCCCTCAGCCCCTCTGTGCAGTAGGGAGAGGCTTTAGTGCAGGGCCTGGCGGGGTGGGGCCCAGGGCTGGTGATGGACTCCCCCCCAGCACCCCCACCCCCCCAGCCGGGCACACGTCCTGAATGACACCCGTCCTCACGGCATTCCCTAGGGCCAGATCTTTGGGTGGAGCTGTGCTCCCACTTGGCGGGGGAGACCCCAGGGCCGGCGGGCACTCTGAGGTCATCGCTCGCTCACTCCTGGCCTTTAGGCTTATGTCCGGCCTGTTGTCAGACTTCATTCTTCCTGCGCCGGAGATGGAACTGGAATAACAACGGCATCGGCATGGGCAGAGCCTGTCTGGTCCTTAGTGACCTGAGGGGGGCTGCTCACCGGCCCTGAGCCTGTTTCTTCCTCGGCCACGCGGCCTAACAGCTGTGCTTTCTGCTTAGTTGTAAGAGGTAAACAGACAGAGGTGCCCTTTGAAAGCAATCAACCTCCACACACGCTCTTTTGGAGAATTCCTTTGAGATACCGCCTGGTGCCACCCCTGCCTTTAAAGCCTTTCTCTGCTGCCCACTGTGTTCCACGGGGTGTTTTAGCTTCCTCTTCCAAGGTTCCCGACCTCAGGCCGCACATCTCAGCCCGCACCACCCACTGGTGGCGGAAGGAAGCCAGCCCCTCCCTCTGCCATCACACTTGCCAGGCCGGCCAGCTGGGTGCACAGAGGCAGTGTCAACACCTGAGAGGGCAGGGGTGGGCTTCCTGACCTCAGGGAGCTTGCAATCTGGTGAGAAAGTCAAGCCTGTGAAAGTGGTGGTTGCTCAACAATTGCCACAAAACTGTGCCCTTAAACATGGGTAGAATGGTCAATTGTATGTTGTGTACATTTTACCATAACATTTATACAGTGGGGCCTTGACTTACGAGTGTCCCGACTAACGAGTTTTTCGAGATACGAGCCGTCTCTCGGCCGATTTTTTGCTTTGAGTTGCGAGCTAAAATTCGGGTTACAAGCCAGCTTCAGGTACCCCACCGCTAGTTGGCGCAGCGAACGTCACAGTGAATGCCACAACATCGGCCCAGCATCACGTGTCTCACTCGTTCACTTTATGATTTGACAAACGAGTAATTTGATTTCCGAGCTCCGTCACGGAACAAATTAAACTCGTAAGTCAAGGCCCCACTGTATATGTATATATACACAAATTACATATATTTGTGTATATATACATGTGTGTGAGTGTGTGTGTGTGTGTGTGTGTGTAATCTATATGAAAAGATCTGGATGCATTTACAAACTCCAGTAGTTTTGCAGAAGTAAAGAAAGCAGATTCTCCTTTTGTAGAAAATTTTTAAACAATGAATACAATAGTTCTGTAACAGTGATGCACTTCAGTTTTGTAATAGTGATGCGGTTTGCTGTCTTTTTTTTCCCCACGAGGTTTCTGAAGTCAAGCAGGACTCAACAAGTATTTTGTCCAGACCTAGAAAAATGCAATCGTACAAATAAGCGTTAGTTGAGCTTATGAGTTAAAACTAGTGAACTAGAGGAAAGTCAGTATTTAAATGGGGGGGGGTGGGGATGGACTTTTTGCAAGCTAGGTGCCAGCAAAAGTGTTCTAGAGCCACAAAAGACAGAGGGCTGGACCTCAATGGTGTTGTGGGGCTTGGATTAGAGAGGTCTCGGGGCAAAATGCAAAGCCACCCTCCAGCAAGGCCCAGGAGCATGGAGGTGAGGGCTGTGCCAGCGCAGGGGGCACAGAAATGAAAAACAGGGCCACGAGAGAGGCTGAATCGGGCCGCTGACGGATGCAGGATGGGTGGGGTTTCCGTTGCACTCAGGGGCCAGTAGTCATGAGCCCCGTCGAGGGACACTGGGCAAGTTAGTTGGCCCTTGTGCTGCAGCCCCCACCTGTATAAAGCAGGGACAACAGGGTGTTGGGCGGTGAAAAGAGGTGATCCAGGAAGAGTACTCAAAGCAGCGATGGCACCTGTGGGCCCCTGGCAGATGTTAGCTGGCAGCACTGTCATTCCGGCCACTCTGGCTGCCCGCTGGTGAACGGTGCAGAGGGGGCATCATTCCAGGAGCCAGGCAGACTGTTGGAGGCAGGTGGCTTTGGGGGCTGGAGGCTCAGTATCCTCCCATACTCACCCCAGGTCTTTGGTGACAAACCCATGCTCAAGTCCCTCCTGAGCATCCCCCGTTGGAACATCCCTGCACCGGGCTCAGCGCTGCCTCCTCCTGCGCTGCCTGGGCCCGGGCCTGCATGGTCCCTGAGACTGTCCACCCAGTTGGTCCCGGGAGAGCTCAGGGCCACAGCATTGTCCTCCTGGCATTCCCAGGGCCACCTCTGGGTCCCCCTTTGGGTTAGGAATTCCTTGACACCCAGCCCCTCCCTCTGCCCTCCCCTCTTCATCCTTTATCTCTAGGCCCCAGGCTCCCAAGGGCTGGGACTGTTTTGCTCATATCCATGTGACTCCATCACAGAGTCGGGAGTCTGGAAAAAAGGAAGGGCAGGGAAGGAAATTACTCGTATGTCATAAACCAGCTGGGCCCCAGAGAACGGAAGCCATGTCCTGGTTCCCCTCCTTGCATCTCACCTCCTCTAGGTGATGCAGAAGCAGCAGGCAGGGTGACTCTGGGCCACCACCCACTGGTGTAGCGAAGGAGCCTTGAGAGTGAGCCAGCCCGCACCCCAGGCTGCAGGCCAACCCCGTCATACCTGTGCTGCCTCGCCCTCTGGACCCCCCAAGGCACGCTTGTTCCACTCAGGCTGCTGCCCAGGCCCACACTGGACGCTGGAAGTGGGGCACTGGGCACAGGGCACACGACCACGGCCCCCTGCGTGGTGAGCAGGGCCATGGCAGAGACCAGGGCTGCAGTGCAGAGAGGAGGACCCCCCCCCGAACCCCAAGGGAAACTGGCTCTGGGCAGAGACCAGGGCTGCAGTGCAGAGAGGAGGGTCCCCCAACCCCAAGGGAAACTGGCTCTCTTGGGAGGGGAGGGGGTTCCTGGCATAGAAAACAGTACCCCAAGGCCAGGAGGCTCCCGCGTTACAAAATGTCCAGCGGCACCACCACCAGCCGGTGAGGTCGAAGGCGAAGGGCCTTGAACTCTGTCCTTGAACCCTGTGGGCCAGGGTTCTCAAACTGGGGCCCTCCGTGCCTTCTGGGAGGTCAGTGAGGACGCTGCCTTTTTGTTTGGACCCTGAGATTTCAGTGCCTGTGGAGTATTTGTTTCTGGGCTCAGCCTTTCCCAGCCCGACCTGGGGCACTCAGTGTTGCTTGGGGCAGCTTTGCATTACAGTTCTCTTCTCTAAGCGGCAGGAGGCCAGAACTCCCAATGCAGAGGAGGCCTCTTTTTCTGCCCAGGGGTGTCCAAGCCTGCTGGGAAATTTCTTGCTGTCCTCTTGTTGTTGTCATTGGCTTGATTCTTGTGTCTGTGGCCCTGGTGGGGCCTGGCTGGCCGTCCTCCCAAGCTGACCCTCGCCAGCCCACAGGGCTCCCAGACTTCCTTACCCTGGTGGTTGTAATGCAGTGGTCTCCCTTCTCTATTTTACATTCTTGAGCTTTTAACCCTTTGCCTTTGTAATCTGGGGTTGCGTTGCATTCACGTCTACTTATGAGTAAATGGAAGGATAACAGTGAACTTGAGTCCATCCCCATGTCCTGTCACACGTGGCCCCATTCCTACGTAATTGCTGTGTGTCTCCTTTTAAAAATTAACTTTTGCCCAGGCTGGTGCGACTCAGTTGGTGTGAGTGTCGCTCCGTGCACTGAAAGATAGCAGGTTCAAATACCGGCCAGGGCACATACCAGGTGTGGGTTCAAGCCCTGGTTGGGCGTGTGCAGGAGGCAACCAATCGGTGTTTCTCTCTCACATCAATGTCTCTCTTTTTCTCTCTCTCGAAATTAATACATTTTAAAAAAAAAGGAACACTATTTTTCTGGGGGACAAATTTGTGGAATTCACTCCCAAAGAAAGTTTCCCAGCCTGGATGCTGTGGAGAGGAAGAGAGGAAGGGGCAAGAGTGAGGAGCCTGTCAGGAGCAGGTGGCCACGGGAGGTGACTCCCCAGGTGTGTGTGTGATGAAGGGAGCGGGCAGAGGCTAACCCCGAGGGGCAGTGGATGGAAGACTGTGGGGTTGTTTGGTTCTGGGGGGCTGTGAGTAGGAGGCGGGAGTCCAGTGGACCCTTGGGGCCCTGGGTTGTCTGACAGACAGGGCCTTTGCTGCATACAAACTGAGCCAGACAGGCTGGGGAGAGAGGGGCCGGGTTTGAGGTGGAGAGGGTGGTACTCAGCTGGGGGAGAGGGGCTGGAGTCCCTCATTGGGGTGAAAGATGGGGGTGACAGACACATTCCAGATGTGAGAGAAGTGGGGTGAGGGACGGGAGGGATGATGGGCTTGGGCTCCAGAATCCCCCCATGACCCCATCATCTATTCTTGGGCGAAGGTCTGCCCCCACCCCAAGCTTCAGTGTCCCCATCTGTGAAATGGGGGCTCATCCTGGCTCCCAGAGAGTTTCAGGTAACGCACAGGGGCTGGCAGCTAGTAAGCCCTCTGCCTTCCTAAGTTGCCGGGAGGAAGAGCCCTTGAGGCTGTGGCTGTGCCCGGGACAGTCAGGTCTGTGGCCTGTGCCCGTCCTCCAGCTGGGCCTCAGGACGCCTGGACTCCTCCTGGTGCCTTGACCGCATTCCAAACTCCCCTGATGGTCCTGGGTTAACCCTCTGCTTCTCCCCTGCCCACACCCTCAGGCACCCCACAGCCTGGTGCCTTCTGAAATAGCCCAGGGCGAGCTCTCCCCTGCATGTGGGCTCTGCCACCATCCTGTCCAGGCCCTTTCTTTCTTCCC